GAAATTCAATGATAAAAATGATGGAATTCAGCTGTTAGACGACATTTAAAATTATCGCTGTTCGTTTGAAAGTTGGTAAATATATATATTTTTTTTTCCTTTAGTGAGGTATCAACATCGCGTTACGTCCTCATTGCAAATTTGCCGTATCTACACATTCATTGCGTAGCTCTTTACGTAGTTTATTCGGTTCATAGGTTTTAGAGATACTCGATCTTACATTTCCTTTTCATTTTGCAAACTTCTCAAGAATAGTAAAAAAATTTGATTATATCTATTAAATATTTAGAAGTCTCTCGTTGCCTTACGTATTTTCAAAATAATTCTGATATTTCAATTTTTTAATAGTATGGGTTCGTGCATGAATCTAATTGAGCATTTAATTTTTATGTAATTTTATTGATACGGATTATTTTAAAAGAAATAGGTTTTCTTTTTCTTTCTTTTTTTTTAAACTTTGCAAGATGTATTAGCAATGCTATTTTTAATTCTACGCTTATATGGGACTCCGCGTAAGCGATATTTTAATAAATAATTCATACTGCTTTCGGTTTTAATGGAAATATCATATCGTCTATTTGTATTAATATTTCTTAATTTATTTATTAATTTATAGTTGTAATGTCAATGCCCGGCTATACCTTAAATTGCAATGATGAATCATTGAGAACAAAAATTTATTATACGCTTATTGAAAGAAAATATTTAAATGAAAATTTATCATTGAAATAATTAATGTCGTTAAAAATTCAGAATAGCTAGTTATTTCATCGATATCGATTGTTAATACTTTTTTCATTAAAATTTTTAATTAAACATTTTAATGTAATATTTAATAAACCTTATCGATAATTTGTTCTTTTCCGCATAAATTAAAAGTAAGAAAATTCTTATTTACACATACCTTAGAAAAAAAAATGTTTATATAGAGGGGGGAACAATTAATTCTTTGTATAAATAAATTTTTTGAAATTTATTACTAACAATAAATAAAAATATTTGGTAATATCAAAGTAATTTAGTGAATATATAACCACTGAAATACTGCCTGTCTAATTTGAAATACATTTAATATGAATAAAAAGAAATTTTACAATTAATAAATACATATTATTTAAGGTTTTTCATTGTATATTAATTCATTCATGTATATTAATGTGTTCTTATATCGTTTTTAATGTATTTGATAGAAAAATGTTAATATTCAGTTAATAATGTTCGAAAGCTCAGTGTATTTAAATTTTGGTATGAAAAATTATGTATAATTATGCAATCTAACATTACTTGTAATTTAAGCGATCTACAATCTTAATATATATTCCTTATCAAGACAATTTAAAATTAAAAAACTAAAACTATTGTTATATCAAGTTGTTCAAAATTATTATAAAATATATTCGAGATTTATGATTGAGTAATCGAGGAATTTCGTTCATTGATGTTAGTTATTTTTATGCATTGAATTTTTAATTCATCGTCATTTGAAATGAATAATACGTCAAAAGGAAATGTATAAATAAACAATATACATTTCATACAATTTATAAACAATTGTACAATCCGATTCACTTATTTGCAGTATATACGAAAAATTAATGTTTTGCAATTTAGTGCTCCAACAGATTTCTTACATACAAAATTTGCACTCTATTATAAAATTTATAATCATGTAATTCACTTATTAATTTGTAAGTCGATTGATATTTCTTCTTGTTTCTTATTATTTGAAAATCCATTATGTGTAAAATGATGTAATATATCGTAATATACTTTATATCGACTTTATTTATTTAAATATATTTGCATAAATACCTTCACGATCTTTTGATTTTCGAAACTACAGTGTTTCGCATATTGTATTTATAAATTTGATAAATGACGTCAATTCCTTCTATCCCATCCACATTAAATCATCGATTTCGATTTGATTACTCATCTTTTATCTCTATAATAGTTTTATGTTTTTATATTTTTCATTTTCTTTATTTTATCGATAGTAATTGCATTTATTTTATCCACTTCGTTTTAATCACTTATTTACTTAAGTTAAATCATTGTTGTCGTGCTTAGCATAATACAGTTTTTTCATTTCCATTTCCTATGATATTGGCTATTATTTCATTCTCTCTCTCTCTCTCTCTCTCTCTCCCTTACTATTGTTATTTTTATATTTCTTTTGCTCATTATAATTAATTATTTTATTTTCAATTTTCCTTTCATTTTAATTTTTGTGGAATCAACTTATATTAAATAGTCTATAATACATAATATACTAGCTACAGTAACAATACCATATTATTCTATTTGTAATTGCATTAAAATTATTTTATCGTATGAACTGAATAATTTGTTATAATTTATCCTATTAGTTACATATTTATTGACATGCACTATTGAGTTACTTTGGCAATGTTAAATAGATGTTGATAATTAATTTGAAAATTCTTATGATTTCTTCTTGGTCATTTTTAAAATGATTTAAGAATTCTTTTTCGTTATCTGCAATGATTATTTTTTGCATTTTTTTGTTTGGTTTTGTTTTGTTTATAAATGCGCAAACGCATTTTTTATTAATTTATTTTACGTTAGTTTATGAATGCTTTGTACATTTAATTTCCTCCTATTTCTATATAAGGGTACACAATTTAGATAATGTGTAAATAAATTTTTAAAAATCATTATAAATTGTCATATTTACTTTGTAATAATTTTATCGAATGGTTAAATTTATTTAATACGCTTAACTGTTTTTATCCTACACATGTACATATCTTTTGATATATCTGTAGACTTTCGTTCGTCTTTTAAAACTAAATTACGTTTATCGTTGTCTTGCAAGACTAGAAAACAAATTAAGAGCGATAATTAATACGATTATTATTTCGTTTATTTTCCAATTCAATGACTTAAAAAGTGTAAAGGCGCCGTTTGAATAGAACTTTCGATTCAGAGTGTTAAGTTATCGCTAAATTAGGAAAGTATATTTTATTCAAGTTGATGAAATTGTAATATATACATACACATATATATATATATATATATATTCATTTTAATTAATTAGATTAAATAATAATTCTACTGTCACTCTTATCATTTTTTTTTATCTTGTGATAATTTCATATCAGATTATCGCAAATATGTACAAAAAATTACAAGTATAATGAATCAGCTACACTGTAAAGACGAAAAATATGAGATAATCGTTGTTGCGATATATAAGGAATAAAAAAAGCTGGGCGGAATATAAAAATGTATTAATCAAGAACAGTAATTATCAATTATAAAAGACAAATTATTGACGACTTTATTGTAATAATATATTTATTCGATATAAAATTATAAAATTATAATTAAAATATTGTATTGTTAAAAAATAATTTACAGTCGATTTAATAAGCTACATAGTTTAAAAACAAATTGAAATCGGTTTGAAATCTAATATATTTCGAATATTTAAATATGACATATTTAAATATGATATATAAAGTACAAAAAGTGATATTTGTAACATATTTTATGTGTTGGTTATTAGAATTTAAAAAATCTACTCATTACATATACTTTGCATACGTGTGCGAGTGTCAATGTAAGAGGTTTATATTTATTTATTCGTACGTTTATAAATATTTATTTCAATTCAGATTTGAAAATCGCCTAAGTTTATCGGTATTTACCATTACAATTTTGCATACATATAAATTGCACAAGACCTTACATTATTCTATTCATTCGGAACGATCGAAATAAACTTTTATATCTAGAATTTGATTATAAAGTGGCAATTTCAATTTGATTAAGGATTGGCGAGTCGCCTGCACACACGCACACACGCACGCACGCGCACGCACACGCACGCACACACACACACATATATATATATATTCGATTTATATATATAATACTTTATTTGCTTGTTCAATATTTCGTTCAAATTTTCATTTGAAATACACATTCTTAAATCTAACAGGAATTGCAAAATTATCCCCATTGATAATACAATGTATATACTTTGACAAAACCCTTAAACTATCGAGGTTTCCATTATTGTTTTTGTACTGACAATATTATGCCGATTTATTTATTTATATTTAACAATTTTCAGAGGATATTTCGTTTTATTAATTTTCTTTAAATTTACATAAATCGGAATGGCTAAAAGTTATAATAAAAATATGACAAATCAAATTCATACACGGAAACTTATAAAAGAATGAATACTTATTTATGTCGTTTCGTTATAGCAGTAAAGAAAACTTAAAAGCAGTTAAGTAATTTTTTAAAATCTCTCATCTTATTATACAAATAAATATTATTATAATACTTCAAAGTCGCTATATTATATAAATGATTTTCATTTTAATATTAATAAATATTTAATGGTTTCGTCAAAGTAACACTGTCCTTAAAATTGAGTATGTATTAATTATTTTTATGACGATTTATTAAATATTGTTTATATAATATTATCACTTATCCTTATTTTTCTAATATGGTGAAAATCATTAAATTTTTATATTCTAGTATCAAGAGAGTTGTTAATACACTGATAATTTTATAGATTATTCATGAAACTTTAACAAACTATAAAAATTTGATATCTGTTTTTATGTCTAATCTACTTTAATGAATTGATACAAATCTAAAACGATTATTATTCAATTGTTATGCTTAAGAATATGAAAAATGGCTTCGAAAATAAATCGAGGCGGAGTCTCACTGAAATTGATGGTACGAAATTATGATCGCTAATTATTTATATACGACCTTTAATATCAATAAATCACAGCATTTGGAAGGATGGTTGCGAATACCGCTTTAAACTTTAATCCCATTGTTTCTTTTTTGTTTTGTTTTGTTTTTAACGTACTTTTACATCGTTAGAATTTATGTAGAGACGCTAAGAATGTTCGAAATTTTGCTTCTTCCAACGACTCCTAGTACAACAAACTACATGATAAACATAGTACTTTAACAAACCATTTTTTTCTTTTTCTTTTTTTAACGTGATATACCTTCCTGGACTAGGTTCGATACATATCTTATATTTAAAAGGGAAAACAAAATTATTCCGTTGAATTTTCCAAAACGTTTGCGCTCTCTTCGCTTATAGTTGTCAAATATCTGTTGTCAAAAGTTTTTTCAATCTTTTTATTATCCAAGCCTGTCTCAAGACTTTTCTCGAGATTCTGTCGATTTTGCTCTATTCTATATTGATTCTCTAGCATTTCTTTTCTTTGATTGACATTTACAAAATGTTTCTCATAGCCACAATAAGCATCATCGTCTAAACTAGTCCAGTACCGAGTAATTGTTGGAGATGTGTCTGGCGAGCTATCAGAAAAGTCTCCAATAGCTCCAAACATTGGTGAATTTGTCGGATAAGATAGAGCCGGGTACGGGATTGATTCCAAGGAGCCAAAACTTGGCAAAAACATTCGATGGTATTGATTATAGCAGGAACCATCCTAAAATATTACAGCCACTTTTAGGTTCTTAACGGAGAGACAATTTTTATTATAGAAGCAATTAATTATTTTAAAAAATTCTTACTCACCATATTGTAATGTGAAGTAAGAGTTACTTCGGAAGGTCTTAATTTTACTCTACTCGGTTGAAAAACACAAAGAAGTGTCCAAGTTGGCACAAAATATTTGAGAATCATGATAACTACTAAAAGCGAACTATAGTATAATTGTATATGATTGTAAATTCCACTGCATCCACTTTCATCTTTACCCACTGTAGAAAAAAAAAATTGCAAACGACTTATTACATAGACATGCAAATTACGATAGAAATTGGAAGGTTATTCTGTGAAATCGGTTACTTACGCAGAACCATAATAGCATCGAAAACAACTGAAATGGCTGCCGACACTTCGTAAACTGCAGTGACAAGCCATAAATCTCTTGTCTGTGACGAAGATGCAGGCATCATTAGAGCTGAAATAACTAGGCGTCTATTACTATGTGTTAGATAAAGCGCAACAGCCGCAAATAATTGAACCGCAATGAAGTCCGCACTAGACAACATTAACCAATAAGGTCCTGCAAATACAAGCACTAATGAGTTTTATACTTTTGCACATTGTAATAGCTTTTTCTTTATAATTTTTCTCCTGTACTTTTTACAAGCTAATGTTTTCACCACTCACACATTTTTTCATTTTAATTTGACACATTAATTTTTATTATTACTGGATGCCTGTATTACTTAGGCCCATTTTTTGTTTTATAGCGCATAATATACTCACTAAAGCATTCTGTCCATGTTCCACTAACATCCACCATTCCCATTAAGACAACGGTGATGCAATAAAGAGTATATAGACAAAGAATGGGATTAATGACGTGTTGCACGACATCGTCCCTGTGGCGAGAACGCGCTGCCATTGACCAATGAAGATGACAAATTAAAACGAATTGATAAAGCTTGAAGAAATTTGTAGCAAAATTTAGTTGTGGATATCGAATTCCAAATACAAAACTTGTAGCACTGCAATTATTTACATTACATAATTTGGACATAAACATAAATTATTAACATACGTTAATTATGAAATCGTGTATTTTAAATTTACCTGATCATGCATTGTATAGCGGAGAGATAAAATATAACGTAATGATGTATTTGCGAATGCTTGTATCGATGGTACTTGATAATTTTTAAAACTATGAAGAGTAACGTTATTATACTAAGAAACACCAATATACCAATTCGTCCACAGGCCACATTGTCATAAGGATCTAGACATCCTTTATTCAATACGTCCAACGTATTATTGTCAAATTTTCGATTACGAGCCATGGCTACTCTTCCCAATTGATTCTGATGATATTGCGATGCTTCAACTT